TCAGCAGCAGAATAACCTCCAGCACCAGCAGCACGCCTCCAGCGCCGAGCAAACCACTCACGCAGCTCCTGTGAGGAGAGTGGCTCTCGGCGAGACGAAGCACCCGGAGAACCTCCAGGCGAAGAACCTCCAGGCGCAGCACCCCCAGGCAAAGCACCTCCACGCGTATCACCCCCAGGCTCAGCACCCCCAGGCTCAGCACCCCCAGACTCAGCACCCCCAGACTCAGCACTCCCAGGCTCAGCACCCCTAGGCTCAGCACCCCCAGGCTCAGCACCCCTAGACCCCGCACCCCCAGGCTCAGCTCCCCAGGGCACAGCACCCCCAGGCTCAGCACCCACAGCAGCACCAGAGTCACCAGTGACCTCGACAGGCTCGACCGCGTCTACCTGGGACACACCTGAAGGGGCAGGACCCTGAGGGGGGAGGGGGTCTACCGGGGGGGGACCTGGTACCAAGAAGAGCGGGGGTGGGGGGAGGGACGGAGTGCGATAGGGGAAGAGGCGGTAGTAGGGTACCGACTCGTCAAACGTGACGTCCTGGGAGGACAGAACACGGCGAGAGGTGGGGTGGTAGAACTGCCACCCAGGGGCGTCGGGGGGGAACCCCAGGAAAACGCAGGGAGCAGCGCGAGGGGACAGCTTGTCCGCAGACAAGTCGCGGACAAACGCCCGAGATCCCCAGACCCGGAACGCCGACGCATCGCCAACCTTCCCCGTCCACAGCAGGGCTGGGGAGGTCTCCGGCCTGGAGACCCTGGGGTGGAGGTTGATCTGATGCGCCGCGTACCTGACAGCAAACGGCCACAGAAAATGGGGGGCAGCCGCATGCATCATAGACGTACGAGCTACGTCCATGACCATGCCAATGCGGCGCTCTGCAATCCCATTTTGCTGCGGTGAGTCCGGAAGCGTGAAGGTCTGGCGGATGCCTCGCGCACGACAGTAGGCACGCAGAAGGCCAGAGGAGAACTCTCCGCCTCTGTCAGAGTGCAGACGCAACACAGGAAAGTCCGAGCCAAAGCTCTGCCTGAGCTGGAGACGAGCTGCGCGGATCCAGTCGATCAGCACCTCAGTGACATCACCCTTGCTGCGCAAGGGGAAGACTGTGGTGAAATGCGAGTAGTCGTCAACCACCAACAGGAAGTAGCGCTCGAGACCGAGTCCACGGAAGCGTCTGCAACGGAGCCTCTGTCGGAGGAAACTGGGAGGAGTGAGGGGCAGCACGCTGGCGCCCCTCGACACAGGGGACACAGGCAGGGCCAGAGCCCTGAGGAAGGGGAGGGAGGGACCGGGGGAGACCAGACACAAGAAGACGGGAGGCCATGCCTCTGAGCCGAAGCAGAGAGGGGTGGCCAAGGCGGTGGTGCCAGAGGAGGGTCTCGTGAGACAGACGGCGACACGAACAGGGGGCAGACTCAGGACCAGACCTGGACGCTGCAGCAAACACCTGACCAGACGAAGAGACCCGACCAGACTCAGCACCTGGAGGAGAAGCAGTGGTCAGTGTGTACAGGCTCGACCCTGGCTGACGTGCAAACGTAGCCAGGTGGCGACCTGTGCTAGCCTCTGTGCAGTGTGTCACCCGCTGACGAGCAGGAGTGAACTGGTGGACACCCGTATCCTGTAGGTCAGCACCACTCACCAGGTTCGTAGAGAACGAGGGGAGGTAGAGACCAGTCAAGGTGCCAGAGGGAGCCGCCGGACACGGGAGGACTGTGGAGGAACGAGACAGGACAGGACCCCCAGAGGGGTCAGCCAGGGACACCGCAACCGGCCGACTAAGCGGCGTGAGAGTGGTGCGGTCCCGAAAGAAGGAGCGAGACGCCCCACAGTCAAGGGTGAAGGTGTGGGAGGCCGAAGCCGATACAGTACCTGAGAGTGCAGACTCACTAGTACCTGAGAGCACAGACGCACTGGCACCTAGAGCAGCAGCCTCACTGGCACCTGACGCAGTAGTACCAATGCCCGGGTCGGGCGGGAAACACCGGTGACAGTCACCCTCATCACTAACAGTCACAGCATACATGGCAGCAAGGATAGCATCATAGTCAAGATCAAAGATAGCTACACCAGCCCTAGACAGCTCTCCCCAGCGGGGGATCTCAGAGGCCTCCGGAAACTGCTGGCGCCAAGCGTCGGTCAAGCGGGCAAAGCAGCGGCGGGCGGTGTGGGTGCCCCCACACTGCTCACCCGCGCGGTCGCCGGTGCGAAGGACGTAGGTGCAGGGGCCGAACGCCCCACAACGCTGACGCTGCGAGTACCACTCACGGAGCTGATGAGGGGCGGGGATGTCGCGAGAGCGCTGCTGCTGCTGGCGCTGACCACCCGCAGTGCTGCTCCGCTGCGACGTGCCACTCCGGCCACCTCCACCACCGCCACCCCCGCCTCCGCCGCCACCGCCGCCACCGCCACCCTCGCCCCCGCCGCTCTTACCGCCACCTCCGCTACTACCACCGCCTCCACTGCCGCCACTAGTACCTCCACTCCCGCCACCACCTCCACCGCCACCCCCACTCCCCCCGCCGCCCCCACCTCCTCCGCCACCGCCCCCGCTAGCTCCACCCGCTCCCTTGCCCCCCTTGCCCCTGCCAGAGCGGCGCCTACCGCTGGGGGCAGACGCAGCACTGACCGACTCCAAACCAACGAGGTCGGCCGCAGCAGCAGAGGCGACAGAGGGCAGTAGGGGGGAGGGAGAACACCCCTCAAAGATGGGGGTGCGAGGGTCACCACGAGAGGCCCCTACAGCGACTATACTCTTCTCAGCCGCTAGCAGGGACTTCTCAAGGAGGTCGACAGTGAGGGTGGTGGGATAGACAGAGAGAAACTGGTCCCTAACGACACGAAGGGACTCATGGAGACGGGTGACTAGAAAGTAGAGAGTGATGTACATGGGAGGAGGGTTTGCGGCGCGGAAGTCAGCAGGAAGCGCAGCGCGGTAGCGAGTGTCACTAGCGCGGAGGTGGGTAAAGAGGTCAGCGACTGTGGGAAAGGCAGCGAGGTCAGGGAAGAGGTACGGTAGCATGAGGCGGCTCAGCGTAGCGGAGGAAGGGGAGGAGTAGCGCGCAACTACAGCGTCGTACAAGGCCTGAGCGGTCTTGCACTGACTAAAGTGCGCACGCTCGGAGGAAGGGAGGTGTCGACGCACAGCAAGACGTGCAGCAGCATCGCGTGTGGCCCACTTGGAGCGAACAGTGGGAAGTCCCATTTTCGCGATGGAGGAGCTCCGCAAACAGGGAGGCGCCGTGTCGGACGAGTCGTCCGCCACTCCCATCCAATACTGGGGCGGTCCCGTGCTGAGCGGCAACACGCTGAATGTGTACTTAATCTACTACGGCTTCTGGCCAAAGCAATCCGCGCAGACTGTGATTGAGAATTTCATTCGTTCGCTGAGTGTTGGAGGCGCCGCTGCGCAAGGGGAAGCCGCGGATCCGAAAGTGAGCAACTGGTGGGCGATCAACTCAAAATACTACTCGCAGGCATCTGATGGGTCCGCGCCCACCGTCAGCACCGAGGTACGCCGTTTCATCCTTTGCATTGAGATGTTGAATCTTGGGCATGAGTGAAAAGGCACTTCCAAGACGACCAGCATGGCGTGGCATCCGCAATCAGTAGCTCGGATACATGTTTTATGTTCCAAATTACGAATGACAGTTTTGGCGGAAAAGCAATTCAAAGGCGAACCTTGAACGCGCTATTGTAGTGCTCGATACAAATGTATTTAGAGTTTCAAACGAGAATTTCAAGGAATTACATCCAAAATCCATTCCTTTCTTTCTCAGGTGAAGCTCGCGAAGGTCATCTACGACAAAGGGTAACAAGGGAAGAAGTTCAATGCCAACACTCCATGGAAAGGTGCGCTTGCGTTCCACCGTAGTTGACTTCCTTTCGTTAGTACCTGTCTCCCGTTCGCTTGCCGACAAACCGTCATCCCTCTCACCTCCTTCCGAGAATCGTACCCAGAATCGTACTAATCTCGTCACCCCCTTCAAATCGTAATTGTCAAGAGCAAGATTGGCTCCGGAAAGCCGTTCCTGTACGACGCCAATGGCATCTACCTGCTTCTCACCAGCACCAACATCAAGGCCTCTGGCTTCTGCACGGAGTACTGCGGGTATCACACGATGGATCGCCTCGGCTCCAAGTCTATCGTGTATTCCCTCGTGGGTCATCACGGATTGTGCCGCGGAAACTGCGGTGCGAAGCAGACTTCGCCCAACGGGAAGCCGTGGCTGGACGCGATGGTTTCGACGATCGCTCACGAGATCGCGGAAGCGGCGACGGATCCCAATGCCAGCAGCGGCTGGTTCGACGCCAACCGGGAGGAGAACGCTGATAAGTGCAGCTACGAGTACGGAGAGACGCAAACAGGTCAGAACGTGTATGGTGATGATGCAGAGTACAACCTGGTGGGGCTCAACGGCATGAAGTTCATGGTGGAGCGGAACTGGGACGTGGCCACGGACTCGTGCGTTTCGCAGACGACCGAGTTGGGGATGCGATGATGAATTGTGAAGTTGTAGTGGGGTTCACGAGAAGAAATGTGCTATTGAAAGGGAACGGGCGAGAGGTGTGGCTGCAGCTTTCGCTTTGCTGGAGCACCTCGGCGGTGCTGCTACTTTGAGGCACAAGCCGCATGAATGAATAAGGGCGGTAGTGCAGTCCATACATTGGGCCGAATAAGCGTCAGAACGTTTGGAAACAGTACCGTAGTGAGGAAGGAAAGTCCGCTGTTGTTTATGATGGCAAAAAAATCATTGGTCCTTGCATGTTTCCAGCAAGCTACAGTCAGGTGGTTCTCCTCCCCTGTAAATATACTCCCTTCCTACATCACACTAGCCTGCTGGTACGACAACCACTGCTTAAGCAACTTAGAAACCTAACAACAGCCACTTCATCTGGACCCTCACCCCCTAAACACCCAGGAACAGCAACCACTTCACAAAACCTTCAACACCAACCACTTCACACCTGGTTTTATCATGATTGAATGCGCTTCATCTAGCACCACGCTCCCGCCATCACGACCTGAGCCTGCAGGCCGCGCTGCCTGAGCATGGCAACGAGCATGTTGAAGACGGTCTGGCCGATCTTCTTGATCACCGCCGTCACAAACGTGTTGAGCGACCGCACATCCTTCACCCCGCTCACCCCCACGCCCAGCGCCGAGTTGTAAAACTGAAAGGCCGAGTCGGTGGGCGCAGCCTTGCACTTGATCCAGTCCAGCAGGTACGTCTTGACGCAAGAGGGGTTGCGGCGGTTGTTGGCCGCCATGAGCACGTAGTCCTGGAAGCTGCTGCTGGCGCCGGATGTGCCGGGGCCCCACACGGCCAGCACGCTGCTGCGCACGTTGCTTGAAGACTGCACGCTGTTCCACAGGGTCTGCAAGCTGCAGTAGTCCTTGATCCACCATGCGTACCACCTGCAGAAGTAGCAGACGAGGGGAAGGGGGAGGGGAGGAAGGGAGGAGACGGCAGGGAATGGGGGATGGGGGAGCAACGGCTGGACGCTTCAATGGGTGTGGAAGCTGCAGCTTGTGAAATGAGTAAGCAGGAATGAGGTGAACTATGAATGAAAGCAGTACAAATGTGAAACCCTAACTGGGTTGTACCCCCTATGGGATACCCCACTACAGCCTACACAGCAGTATAAGCTATAGACATGTTCTGACACACCCCCATAGGCAAAGTGGGGGAGAACAAGGGGTCACAAGACCAGTCAAGCAAGACAAAGCAAAGCTCAGGGTGGATCACAAAGTCACCACACAATCCGAGCACAAGAGCAAGGCCAAAGGCCAGTTCACAAGCAAGAGTACAGACATATATATATAAAACTAGACAAGCAAGAGCAGGTATATATATATGTCACAGTACAAGTAAAGTCAAGAGGAGAGCAAGTGAGGCAAGACAGGCACAAGACCCAGCTGGGTGCAGAAGCGCTGATGGTCACAAGGCGCAAGTGCCTTGGTGAACACATCAGCAGTGTTGGCCTCAGAGGCCACGTACGCAAGTCGCAACTGACCACGCTGCTGCAACTCACGAGCAAGGAAGTAGCGGAGAGCAATGTGCTTCGTTCTGTGCTCCAAGCGCTGCTCTCGACACAAGGCCAGCATAGCCTTGTTGTCTACGTACAGCACTGGAGGAGAACGAGGCGGCTCTCCTAGGTCAGTCAGCAGGTAGGTGAGCCAGCGAAGCTCCTGTGCAGCCATGGCTCCGGCGTAGATCTCAGCCTCACAACTGGAGCCGAGAACCGAAGACGAGCGAGTAGACCGCCACGAGACAGAGCCGGAACCAAGGCTGAAGGTGTAACCCTGTGACGACCGCTGCGTAGCCTGGTCGTCAGCCCAAGAAGCGTCCGCGTGGCCGGTAAGGACCACTGGACTCCGCCCTCCAAGCACTAGCCCCATGCCTGACGTACTGCACAGGTAGCGCAATACCCTCTTCGCTGCAGCCATGTGCTCCGGTCTGTGTCTCCCAGGAGCAACATAGCGTGCAAGAATGCTCAGAGGGTATGCAAGGTCAGGTCGTGTGCAGGTCATCAGGTACATGAGGCAGCCAACAAGCTCTGCATACGGACCACTCGACTCTACGGACTCATCCGAAGGCAGAGCTGAGAGTGAGTGGCGAGTAGGCAGAGGAGTGGCCTGAGGCGAGGAGTACGTGAAGCCGAAGCGCTGAAGGACCTGCTGCACCATGTGTGACTGAGTCAAGGTAATGGTGCGGCGTGCTCTGTCCCGAGTGATCTGCAAGCCAAGGTAGCTGCGCAGTTCACCCAGGTCTGTGCACGTGTGTCTCTTCAGCAGCTCGGACTTCACGTAGGCGAGTCCAGCAGTGTCCGCAGTGGCAAAGACCAAGTCGTCGACGTACACGAGGATGTAGAACGGCGGCAGGGAAGTGTCGGTGCGAAGAAACAGCGACGGGTCAGCAGTAGAAGGAGCAAACCCAAGAGCCGCAAGCGTAGTCCTCAGTGTGTCGTGCCACTCACGCGGTGCCTGGCGGAGACCGTAGACTGGCCGTCTGAGGCTCCACTGGGTGCCAGGAGGGAAAGTCCCAGCGAAGCCAGGTGGACGGCGAAGCCAGATCTCCTCGTGCAGGCTACCCTGCAAGAACGCAGTGCTGAAGTCGAGAGAGTGAAGCTCGTAGTCGCGCTGAGCGGCTATGTGCAGCAGCACCCGAAGAGTAGTCATCTTCGGGGTGGGAGAGAAGGTCTGAAAGTAGTCAACTCCCTGCCGCTGACTGAAGCCACGAGCAACGTACCGTGCCTTGAAGCCAGGTGGAGAGCCCGGCGGCCGCTTCACCCTGAAGATCCACATGCCACTGACGATGTTCGCCCCAGGAGGGGGAACCGCGTCAACGTAGGTGCCTGTGGACTTCCAGGAAGCCATCTCTGCATCCATGGCTGCCTGCCACTGAGAGGAGTAGGGGCCCTCTACGGCCTCCGCGTAAGAACGCGGAGTCGGGATGTCTAGTGCATCCGGGTCTCCCTCAGGGGCAAGCAGTACAGACGCGAGATGAGGTGAAGCAGCCGCTAGACACTGTAACTCCTCCTGCCTGTCCTCTAGGACGTCCGTGCCAAGAGCACACTCACCCCCGACGGACGGAGGACAGACAGACGCAGACTCAGCAACAAGACTAGCAGCGTAGTCGAGACGACAGCGAGCAGCAAAGTCGACGAGCTCAGCGACTAGAGCAGACGCAGCAGTGGACTCAAAAGAGGGGTCAGTGACGACAGTAGCAAGCAGACGCGTGACAGTAGGACTCGCAGCGCGAAGAGAGTCCGACTCAGGGTCGGCAAGCGCAGGAAGAGAGGAATCAGGAGGAGAAGGCAAAGGGGCACGCAGAGGAGCAGTGGACGGACGCAGAGACATCCGGTGCGTGCCAGGGACAGGAGGAGGACGCTGACGCGAACCGCGACCACTAGCGCAAGCAGCACGAACAGGCGACGCGGGGCGAGACGCAGGCTCACGACGCTCAGCAAGACCTCCAGTAGGACCAGTGTAAGGAGAGGGAGCAGGCAGTGGAGAGGAAGGCTCCAGTAGGGACTGCGACTGGACAGGCGGTGGACCCTCTACTGGAGGAGAAAGACCAAGAACCTGCTGAAGGAGCGGAACGAAGTACGGCCGAGGCCGCGCGGCAGCTCCAGTCTCAGCAGGGACAGCACCAGCACCCACAGCGACAGCACCAGCGCCACCCACACCTCCAGCGGCAGGACCAACAGCAGTAGGCTCAGTACGAACGCCCTCAGCAGCTCCAGCTCCAGGAGGACCCGCAGGTCCAGCAGCTCCGGGACCGGCAGCACCCGCACCCTCGACGATCGAAGAAGCTCCAGCTCCAGCTCCAGCAGCACCTCCAGACTCAGCAGCACGCCTCCAGCGGCGAGCGAACCACTCGCGCAGCTCCTGTGGAGAGAGGGGCTCCCGGCGAGACGCAGCAGCAGGAGAAACCCCAGGCTCAGCAGCTCCAGACGCAGCACCCCCAGGCTCAGCAGCTCCCAGCTCAGCACCCCCAGGCTCAGCAGCTCCCGACCCAGCACCCCCAGACCCAGCACCTCCAGGCACAGCACCCCCCGGCTCAGCACCCCCAGGCTCCGCACCCACCGCAGTAGCACCCTCAGGCCCAGCACCCCCAGCAGTAGCACCCCCAGGCACAGCACCCCCGCGCACAGTACCCCCAGAGTCAGCACCCCCAGGCTCAGCACCCGCAGCAGGACCAGAGTCACCAGTAACCTCGACCGGGTCAACGGCGTCTACCTGGGACACACCTGAGGGGGCAGGAACCTGAGGGGGGAGGGGGTCTACCGGGGGGGGAACCGGCACAAGGAAGTCCGGGGGAGGGGGGAGGGAAGGAGTGCGGTAGGGGAAGAGACGGTAGAAGGGGACTGACTCGTCGAACGTGACGTCCTGGGAGGACAGAACACGACGAGAGGAGGGGTGGTAAAACTGCCACCCTGGGGCGTCAGTGGGGAAGCCAAGAAAGACACAGGGAGCAGCACGAGGGGACAGCTTGTCCGCAGACAAGTCGCGGACAAACGCCCGAGATCCCCAGACACGGAACACAGACGCATCGCCAACCTTCCCTGTCCACAGCAAGACTGGGGACATCGCAGGCCGAGAGACCCGGGGGTGAAGGTTGAGCTGATGCGCCGCGTACCTCACCGCAAACGGCCACAGAAAATGGGGGGCAGCCGCATGCATCATGGACGTACGAGCGACATCCATGACCATGCCAATGCGGCGCTCAGCAATCCCATTTTGCTGTGGTGAGTCCGGAAGCGTGAAGGTCTGGCGGATCCCCCGTGCACGACAGTAGTCTCGCAGAAGGCGAGAAGAGAACTCTCCGCCTCTGTCAGAGTGCAGACGCAGAACAGGAAAGTCCGAGCCGAAGCTCTTCCTGAGCTGGAGACGAGCCTCGCGGATCCAGTCGATCAGCACCTCAGTGACCGCACCCTTGCTGCGCAAGGGGAGGACTGTGGTGTAACGCGAGTAGTCGTCAACCACCAACAGGAAGTAGCGCTCGTAACCCTGCCCACGGACGGGGGCTGGGCCCCACACATCCATGTGAAGCGTCTGCAGGGGAGCCTCTGTCGGGGGGAAGTGGGAGGAGTGAGGAGTAGCCCGGAGGCGACCCTCGACACAGGGGACACAGGAAGGTCCTGGCCCGGAGGGGAGAGGAGGGAGAGACTGGGGAAGACCAGAGACAAGGACACGGGAAGCCATGCTCCGAAGACGGGGCAAGGAGGGGTGGCCAAGACGGTGGTGCCACAGGAGAGTCTCGTGAGACAGGAGGCGACAAGAACAGGGGGCAGACTCAGGACCTGACCGGGACGCAGCAGCAAGTACCTGACCCGACGCAGCCACCTGACCAGACGCAGGGACAGGAGGAGACTCAACGGTCAGGGTGTAGAGACTCGACCCCGGCCGACGCGAGAACGTGGCCAGGTGTCGGCCTGTGCGAGCCTCCGTGCAGTGGGTCACCCGCTGACGCGCAGGAGTGAACTGGTGAACACCCCCATCCTGCAGGTCCGCTCCACTCACCAAGTTCGTAGAGAACGAGGGAAGGTACAGACCCGACAGGGTGCCCGAAGGGGCAGCCGGACACGGGAGGACAGTGGAGAAGTGAGACAGGACAGGACCCCCAGAGGGGTTAGCAAGGGAGACCGCAACTGGCCTGGCGAGCGGCGAAAGGGTAGTGCGGTCTCGAAAGAAGGAGCGAGAAGCTCCGGAGTCAAGTGTGAAAGTGAGGGAGGACGAGGACGACTCAGTACCTGAGAACGCAGTCTCACCAGTACCTGAGAGCGCAGACGCACTGGCACCTAGAGCAGCAGCCTCACAAGTACCTAGCGCAGCAGTACTAATGCCCGGGTCGGGCTGGAAACACCGGTAACCCTCATTCTCCTCACTATAATCCACAACATACATAGCAGTAAGGATAGCATCAAAATCAAGATCAAAGATCGCTACACCAGCCCTGAGAAGCTCATCCCAGCGAGGGATCTCACTAGCCCCAGGGAACTGCTGACGCCAAGCGTCCGTCAGGCGGCCAAAGCAGCACTGGGTGGCGTGGGCACCCCCACACTGCTCACCCGCGCGGTCGCCGGAACGAAGAACGTAGGTGCAGGGACCAGTACCCCCACCCCTCTGACGCCCAGCGTACCACTCACGAAGCTGCTGAGGCGAAGGGAT